TTTATTGTTTGTAGTACATTGTTTAATGTATAGCCTTAAGCCTTATTTATTACTCCTATTCAAACCTTGCTCTTACAACAATATTAATTTCCTGCTGGCAATTCCATGGTGCTTTTCGCTGTAGTATTCTAATACTTCACAGGGACTGATGTATTTCTCTTTGCAGTAACCCTGGGAAGGGGTGGAGGTATTACCTCCATTTTATGGGTGGTGAATTCACATATGTACAAGTTGAAGTAAAAAATACCCACTAAACTTGTGCATCTAACGTAGCTGAAGAGCTGTTGATAGCAGGAGCAAGCTGTCACCTTCTCTTTGAAACCAGCACTGAAAGGAGAAGAAATCAATACCTTGCTGTTTGGTTTCACAAATGCTACATGACAGCTTTTTTTTTTTTATTTTTTTATTTTTGTATCCCCTTCCTTGGAGCTGACTTCCTTCCATGATGTTGTCCCAGGCACTTTCTTTCCAAGCCTGAGCTTTACCCCAGGCTTTTTCTCCTACTTGCATTTAATTTCTTCTTTTTGTGCTTTTCATTAGAATTCCAGCCGTTTTACCATAACTAATCATTAGGAAGCCTGATCTCACTATTCCTGCTAAAATAGCTATTGTCTGCTCCTACCTGTTCTCATTTTGCAAATTATAGTTTCTAACCATTCCCTCGTATCCAGATGCTTTCATTGTATCCTCTCTCTTGTGCAGGAGTTTAAATCAACTGCCCGTCTTCTCCATCCTACTTAAGTGCCATTAAACAGAGATCTTTAGGGGTGTAGGAGGAGGAACCTCTGGCTCTTTGACTTATTCCCCAGGGCTGTCCTTGCTGGGGAAGGAAATGTAGCAGTGAAAGCAGAGACCTGACCACTGTTGCCCTGGGCTGATGAATTCTCAGCCTCCCTCAGTGTGGAGCCAGCACTTTCTGGCCACCCAGAGGCTTCTGAGGACTTCTGTGCATTTGGTTTGGATGCAAGACTGACAGAAAAGCTAATGCTACGATAATTTGCAAATCTCTTGTTCTAACAGCTTAGGGGACTTGGAACATCGTAGAGGAAAAGTCTGCAGCAACATACGTAAAACACATTGTCCCTAACATCCTCCTCAGATGTGTCTGGGGGGATCTGAGTAACTCTTCCCCAAGCACCCTGGGGTACATACCTGGGATAAGAGATTTGTGCTAAAAGGTTAGAATTTCAGTGAAAACAAACAAGTGCAAACGCCGTGTTGTCATATTGCAGTAAGAATTGTTTAAGAACATTAGAATAATAGCCTATATACCAGCTTCCTACAGATTTTTCACTGAGAATAATTCATTCAAAAATAATTCAAGATATTTTATATCCTGTAACGTTGAATTTGTGGTCGGCACCCCACTACTTCCCAATGATTAATTTATTCTGCAACTCCTTTGGCCCAAGTCTCCAGCATATTCCCTGTTATGTGATTCTCATTTGAGTAATATTTGTGATTTGATCAAAATTATCAATTTGAGTCCTGTTTGGTGGGTGTTTCTGGGTACGTTTTGAATGCATTTGTAATACAAATAGTTCCTGAGTTTTGGGAAGCCCTGTCATGGGATGTGACTGCACAGGATCATCTGTCTCTGTATGGTAATAGAGAATTGAGTTGTGCAAAGATTTTACGGCTTACCTTACTTAAAACATTTGTTCAAAGACAGTCAGTTAAAGCTCTAAATGAAGTGTGACAAAAGTTATGAAGGAAGACCCTGCAGTGTTTTATGTAAGATTTCTTTTCCTCCTACAGGAGAACGGGTATAAATTTTCACTGTATAAATATTTAAAAACCAATATACCAACAAATGTAAACTTTGTAAATTCGCAAATTATAATCATTTCTATTTCAGCAAGTGTTTAGATTTACCCGTTGTAAAGTCTAAACTTCGTTACAATAGCTTCTTCCATGAGCCTGTTAGGCTTTCTTCTGATAATGCTGTCGTTTCTGCATTGCCATATGTGCAGTTTCCACGCCACCTTGGCACTTCTCTGGGAAGCTTTCCTTTCTTTTCCTCCTCTGCTTGCTTCAGCGAAGGAGATGTGCTCGCGTGTTTACAGACTCCAAATGCTCGGCTCTGTGGCAGCTGGACTGCTGCTTGTCTTGCTGAATTTGCGGTAGATTTTCCCTCTGGGAGTGGTGCTGGTTTGGTGGTTAATTTCTGGCCTGCTTGTTTGGTTTGGGTTTGGAGGGATATGTTTGCAATTTGTTAATTCTGGAGGCTAAGCCCTTGCCATAGCTGTTGGAGAGTGCTGCATTCAGAGGCTGTTTTCATCTTGCTTTATAAATGCTTGCATTGTTCATGTGATTTCTGCACGCAGTGCATAATTGGTTGACAGCATTAAAAGTGTGTGCGTGTGTATACATCTCGACTCAGTAAAATGGGTGATATATGTAGGCTAGGCATTTTTTAATTTACAGGTAATGTGGTTGATGTTTGTCTGTTTTCAGTTGTACAGAGGTTATCACTTGCTATAGTTTCAATTTCAAATAGCAGATGGTGACCTAAAGGTCATATTACAATGTATTTCATTAGTGCCTGAGATTTGAAATATTCCACTAGCCCCAAAATATTCGGTATTTAGTCCAGTCACTTTGATTGCATACCAAATAGCAGCTGCTCCACTTGCAACAGACCCTGCCCGATATTTCCTTGGTTTTGAGTCAAACATTGTCTGAGTTCTGTTTTATTAATGATTGTGAATGATGCACATAATCTAATTTTGAGATTATTAATCCTTCTTTTGGATCATCCTACTTTGATTCACTATAAATTGGATGGTTTGAGAAATACATTGTTTTATAGAATGTCCTAACATTAGAGGCAAGAAAAAATTCATTCTTGGTGTAATGTGATTTATGGGTATGGAGAAGAGTTAATATCAAATGAAAGAGTGCAACTATTCATATTTTAATTTGTGTTACTTAAGCATGTAAATTTACCTGCTGTAGTTCAACTATAGCCTGTCTTCATTATGAAATTGTAATCTAGCCCAATGGTTTCCATGTAGTGTCATACTTAGGTCACAAGGAATGCTATGTAATAAGCCATTTTAACTACAGTGATGCCCTTGGAATAGATATATTTAATGAGTATAAATGTAATTATTCCCAAGAGTATCAATATGTTTATACTGCTTGGTGTGCTTCCTATCAAAAGAACTATTTTTGCTAGTAATTTCTTTAAAGTTAATAGTTCCATTAGCTTTAATTATTTATGAAAATAAATGTGTGCTACCACTTAGTGACCAGACAAATGGAGAAAACATCTTTGATCTTCAGTTTTATTGGTTGAGTTATGCTCTTAGAAATTGAAAAGCTCACATTCTCTGTGTTATGTGGTTCCAAAAAGCTACAAACTAATAGCATAATGAAAAAAATGCTTATTTCTCCTGCAAATTTTAGCATATACCTAAGGGATTGAGTCAGGGTTCACTTCAACTGTTCCACAGTTACCTGGCACACAGCCGTGGTCCCACAGGGGTGATCAGAGACCTGCTGCCACCTTTCCACCTTCGCAAAGGGCAGCTGCAGGGGAATTTGTTCTCCTCCTGGTTTTTCTGTACGAGCCTTTGAGAAAGGAAGCAGTTTGCCTCTATTTCTGTCTTGGGCCTTCTGTCAACTCTGAGGCTCTTTCCTTCCTCTCCTGCACACTTCATTTAGGAAAAGAAAGGTTCTCTTATTTCACAACTCCGTTTTGCTGGTCTGTGCTTTTAAATTTTGTTTCTGATACTTTTACTTGTTTACTTTTACTCAAAAGAAATGTAATTTCTGAATATATACTGAAGTGGGCTGTGACATCTTTATGTTGCTCCTGAATATGGAATTCAAATTTGTCAGCTGTAATGCTTTCTTCCTTCCATCCTACTTTGCAGCTTTGTGATTTAACAGTTTTATTATTGTACTTCAATCTTTTCAGTTTATAATTTTTTATATGTTTTCCCGACTGCTGAATTAAATTATAAAAGGTGTCCTGTAAGTGGTTTTCACCATATTGTTCTCATGGAACTTCATGAACTTCAGATCACTTTGAGGTCTATTTAGAGTATGTGTGTGTTGTATTAATAATATTAGGAGGGACAGATGTGGCTGCTACCAAGCCTATCTGCCCCACCCCTCTTAGTTTTAGTAGTTCTTGCTGTGAAAAAAAACAAGAAATCTATGAATACAAGCAAAATTTCTGCAGTATTCCTCTATTGGAGGATTTGTTCATGTGCTGTTTAAGTACAAGAGACAGTATTCCAGTCCTGGCACAATGGCAGATCTATAATCTGTTATGATCTACTGGAGTTAGAAATGCTTGCTACCAGCAGGAAAAATGACCACTTTTTGGCTTGGAGGGCATACGGGCTCCCAGCTAAGTGAATAAGAAGGTAGATACTGGAGTTCAGAAAGTCTTCACCAAGAGCCTTGCACTTTTATTACAAACCAAATAGATGTATCTTAAAGTAGTACAGTCAGACTAAATTAATGTGGTTTGGATCTTTTTCAATCAGTGACCTGGATGAAGGGATAGAGTCTACCCTCAGCAAGTTTGCTGGTGATACAGAGCAAGGAGGAGTGGTGGACATGCCTGAAGGCTGTGCTGCCATTCAATAAGATGTGAGCAAGCTGGAGAGTTGGGCAGAGAGAAACCTGATGAGGTTCAGTAAGAGCAAGTGTAGAGTATTGCACCTGAGGATGGGCTGCAGGTTAGGGGCTGACCAGCAGAAACTGTAACACAGGAAGTTCCATACAACTCAAGGAAGAACTTCTCTAGGAGAGTGCTGGAGCAGAGGAACATGCTGTCCAGAGAGATTGAATTCACATTTTCTGAACAACTTGGTTTTCCTTTCCCCTGCAGGTTCACCATGTGCTCTTTTTAAGTTAAACTGTACTTTAAATGTCTGTGCTATTTAAAAGCCAACATAAAATATTGTGCCAGCGATGTGTACTTACAGCTGAGAGGGCTGACAGGGCTGCATCAGCAGAGGGGTGGAGGCAGAGCAAGGGAGGGTATTATTCTCCTCTGCTCTGCCCTTGTGAGGTCCCACCTGGAGTACTGCATCTGGGCCTGGGGCATGCAGCACAAGGAAGATGTAGGACTGGTGGAGTGGATCCAGGGGAGGCCACAAGGATGCTCAGAGGGCTGGAGCATCTCTCCTGTGAAGAAAGGCTGAGGAAGCTGGGCTCGTTCAGCCTGGAGAAGAGAGGGCTCTGGGGAGGGCTCAGTGTGACCTACCGGTATTTAAAGGGAGCTTTAAAAAAAAATGGGTAGCAACTTTTTCCATGGTCTGATAGCGATAGGACAAGGGGGAAACAGTTTCATACTAAAAGAAAGGAGATTTAGATTGAAGGTAAGAAGGAAATTCTTTCCTTAGAGCATGGGGAGGACCTGGCACAGGTCGCCTAGAGAAGTTCTGGATGCCATCCTTGGCGATGCTCAAGGCATGGTTGCTTGGTTCCTCGGCAGCCTGATCTGGTGGAGAGCAGCCAGCCCATGGCAGGGGCATTGAAACTGGATGATCCTCAAGGTCCCTTCCAACTCAAGCTGTTCTATGATTGTGTGTTTCTATACCTTGAGTTCTGTTTTTACTTGTATGTTTTTTTCTGAGGAGCTGAGCAAGCATTGTGGTATGCTTCTGGCATACACTTTTAGAAGTATTTGAAATGGTAGATAGTTAGGAACTTACTTAACAGACTTTCGTACTGAAAATAACTTCTAGTAAATCCATCCTTATTTCTTTCTCGACAGTTCCCTACTTGGCGTCAGTGTATCTTCTGTGTTGTAATGTTAGCATTAAAATAAGAATTTGTAGAATCATAATGTTTGGAAAAGACCACTAGGATCATCAAGTGTAACCATCAGTCCATCAGCACCCTGCTGACTAAACCATTTCCCTAAGAGTCACATCTACTCTTTTTGTGAAAACTTTCAGGGACGGTGACTCCACCTCCTGGGCAGCCTATTCCAGAGCCTCACCACTCTGTCTGAAAAGGAATTTTTTCTAACAACCGACCTCCTCTGGCCCAACTTAAGTCTTCAGGCCTCTGGCACAGGTTCATATGAGCAACCTCAGCACTGTACTGGATGCTGCGGTCAGATCCTGCATGGGGCCACTCTATATGCCTCTCTGCTGTGTGTGTGTCCCCACCTGCTCTGCAGTGTGGAAAAAAAAAATGTTTTACAAATTTTAATACTCAAATGATTAGATGCGTGCATTCTGTAACTGTAGAAGGAAGTTACTATGAGCTCCACTAGCACAGAGAGTCTGGAAGTCAGCCTTGATAGAGACTTATGTTGCTGGTGCTGAAAATGTTATAGGCAAGATGCTCTCATGCTCTGTGCTTTTAATCCTAGATAAGGATTATAGTGAGATTATAGTGATCCACTCTTCTTCCGTTTCTGAAGCGTGTAGAAAATGTTTTTATTCCATCTGGCATTCGCCAAATGGTGAACACATTCCAACCCAACAACTTAAACAGCAGATTCCCTGAGCTGATACCTGTCTGAATATTCACGAGTGTACTTACAAACACTGCCAAAAGAGAATGTATAATTAACTTCATTCTCACAGAGCAACTTCCTGAATGAAAGAAAGGTTGGGACATGAGAATAACCCCTCATTGCATTTGTGAGCACATTACCTTGATCTTGCTGCTCTGCTGTTCTACAATGAAATAGTTAAAAAGGGACCTTGGCATTTCAATGCACATAATTAGCCACCTGGGTTTCCTATCCAAAACCCAAAAACTGCAGTTGGCATTATTGGTTCCCTGGACCAATGCTGTAAGCCTCAGGGCAGGCCTGAGCCAGGAGAATCCACTGTGCACCTGTGGCCAGTCCCAGCACATAGGCACTGGGTGTTCCCAGAACACTGCAATGCTGGAGGTTAATCACAGCAAATTCCTAATCTGTAGGAATTATGGCTGCGACTTTTATTCTTTCTTTAAAAGAAAAATCTTAAATGCTTTCCCTCCGTTTGGCACCCAATAGAGCCTATTTCAACCTGAAAATGCAATCTGCTCCTTTGTATTTAGGGCATGTAGGAAAAATGGCTGAATCATAACGTTACCGATTCCATGTGTTTTATTACTGTTGCAGAAGATTATTTTTTTTTTCCCTAATCTCCTCCTGGCTGTTTGCCCAGGATGACAAGAATATATAGTGAGGTGATTAAATAAAAATAAATCATCTTCTTTTAAAATACATTTTTATGAGACCATTTCTACACAAGGGTCCCTGTCTCGCCAGCTTGCGCAAACAGGGCTGCGATTGACTTCGGCACGTGCTCTGCTCTTCAGTGCTTATGAGATGAGGCTGCTGCTTTCCTTATATATTTGCTATATATATGAAGGCTCAGGGGGGAAACAAAAAGCAGTACAGCTTCACTTAGCAATTAATTATGGTTCAGGTTCTGTCATCCTTTAGTCTGTGGCACAGTGAAGTCAAATTTCCTTTTTTTTCCTTCAATAAAATCAGCTTGAAATTGAACAACTGAATATATAGGTGTATGCCAGCTGACTTTTATGCTTTTTTTCAGTTTTAGCTTTTAAATATGTATGTATATTTTATTACAGTGCCATGGTTGGAAGTCAGTTGTTATGTGTTTGCAGGCTTTTGCATGGAATTGTCGGGTGGTGGTGGGTTGGAATGGTGGGATGCTCACTATGTTGCCCCCAGGCTGTTCTTTCACTGCTCTTGAAATGCAGTTACACCACAGATAAGATGACTACTCCAGTCATCTCCTGCCATCTCCTTGATGCTAGCCTAGTGTCCGTATCTTACGTAAAGATAGTGCTGGTGCTAGCTTGATGCTCCTCATGGTGGGCCCTGAACCAGTTCACTGCGCACAGGAGGGTGAGGACCAGTGAAGAAAAAAGAGGGGAAAGAGTAAACATGTGGCTTCTCAGAGCTTCACTCTCTTAAACTGTGAGACACCTTCACTACATTCCAGTGAAGGAATGGCATAAGAGCTCAATGGGAATGGCATAAGAGCTTCTCTCATGGTGAATTTATTTACAGCATCCAGCTTGTTTGCAGGTTTATCAATTGACACTTGATAGCTGATAGCACACTGAAGGCCACCTGATGAATCCTGACAAGGTGGTGGGGATTAAATAAATAAGTAAATAGAGGTGTAGCAGCGTACACTGACAATATCGCATTTGGAGGGCACTCTGGAATTTGTTTTCAGTACAATACGACTTGCATTTAATTGTTTTGATGAATATTTCAATTTATTTTTATTATGGCATGGCTAATAAGATTGTAAACGTTGCAGGAAAGTTAGACTCCCTTAAATAGATTTTCAAGGTGTGGACAGCTACAAGCATAGTTTTGCAGTATGATTCTAAACCACACTTTGCCCATTCATGTAGCTCTGTTCTTGGTATTATTCTGATGCTCATGCAGCACTTCCAGACCTGACTGTGGTCTTTACTAATGAGCTATGTGCAAGGATGTTTCTTCTTAGCTGTAGTTTACCATAACAAAACTTATTATTCACACTGCTGGCTTACTACTTCTCAGATCTGCTTATTACTTTGTATTCTGCTTGGTTTTTGAGAGATGGAGCAAAGAAGGATCTAGCGCAGCCCTGGCGTGCTCTCACTTCTGATACTAGCTGGGCTTTGTCCCTGGAAGTTCAAGGCTTGTTTGTCATAATTATTTTCATGCAAGGTTATTTTTCATGACCGAAAGAGAAAGAGCTTGCCCTCCCTTTGTTTCATCGTGCAGTAGTTATGTTTGTTTGTGCACTCTTCCTTTCTGCTCCCTTCAAGCATAGCAGGGCTGAAGGTTCAGGCTCAGCCCCAGCTCCTGCCACTGCTCAGGTTGTTTCCTGAAGTTGGCTGTCGTAGCCTCATTGGTGTTACACACACAAACATTTTTAATTTTGTTGGAAAATTCCTCTCTGATTTCTCACTCCAGATTCAGGCCTTTATTTTTGCAAGTGCAATAATCTTGCATAAATCTTCTGTTCATCAGAAATCATTTGTGCAGCTTTCAGTGCCTGACTGTTCCATGGATGTTACAAGCATTCTAAGTCCTGGCTGCAGCTTGTACTATATTTGTTCCATTAAAATAATCCAAATCAAAGAAACCTCTGTATTTTCTTTGTGGTGAACAGAGCCATGCAAGTATTTTTGTCTGACTCTGGAAGAGATGCTGTGTGATGTTAATGAGTCTCGGGAAGATGGGAAATGCCTCTGTGACTTTTCACTGCCATGAGAGATCCTTAAGATTAGCTATCATGAGGCCTCTATTCTGCAGGGTGCTTTTTTTTAAAGGTCAGTTGGGAAAAAAAATCCACCTTAGCGTGGATCTTGCAGATATGACTGTGCTTGGAGCACTGCCAGCTTGTTCCTTCCCTCCGTGAAACATGACAGCTCTGGGAGAGAGATCAATCTTCTGTAGAACTGTGATTCTGTCTCTAATTCACATCTATCTTGTGCATAGGTGCCTCACATGCGATATTATGCTATGGCAAAGAAACTCGTGTTTATAACAAGAAAATTACTTTCAGCCTTGTTAATAAACGTAACAGCAAAAAAAAAAAAAAAAAAGCATACTCAATTCAGAAGTCAGCACAAAATGTCAGACAAGGATTTTTCGTGATATTTACTGATTCATGACTAGGTGAAGTGATAGCAAGGGTAATTAAATGTACCTCTGTAAAAACATCACAATTAACATTGTCAGAGGAAAACTGGGGCTTCGAGATGGAAAATCTCACCTGTCTAATCTGGTTTACAGTCAGGAATGTGTTAGGTATACTACTTGTCAGGAGGCTCAGAGCCCTTATTTTTAAATGCTCACCTTATTTCTTAAAGATTTTCCTCCTTAGGAAATCTAAGAAAATAAGCAAGAGTCAAATCACAATGGTGGTATTAATTGAATCAGATTTGCCACAAAACCTAGACTTCTAAATAATAAAAATAATTGTGCAAAGAGCCAAAACAAGGTCCTGTAAAGTTTTTTTGTTTGTTTTTTTTTTTTAACTCTTCATATACACCTCACTCCTAGTGCATAGGATCTTTTCCCTTATTCTATCAGTTGTTGTAGAGTTGAGCATATGTATATTTCATGTTTTTATTAGAGTTGTATTTTCTTTCTGATATTAGAACATTCAAATGTACAGTAGCAAGGAACATTATTTTATCTTCCAAATGTAAAAATACTTTAAATAACATGAGCAAGAAAAATGAACTTCAGTAGTCAAAGAAAAGGAACTGCTGTACTCTGTGAGTATCATTTGGAAAAATAAGCAGAGGTGCTCCAGGGCATAAAACAAGAGCCAGCAAGGTCTGTTGTTTATGGAGGGGAGGGAGCTGAGGAGAATTTCTAACAAAGACAGTTCTCTTCGATGCGAAGAAAAATTGATAGCCTCCAACTATCCTCAGCAAGTTGGAAACTTGGTTCAATATTAAAATTGTACTTTTTCTATTGTCTGGTTTAAGTGTAGGTAATGACCACTACTGGCTCTGGTTTCCTTTGGGAGAGAAGTTGTATCAGCACTTGTATTTGTGATCTATGTTACAAATCAATATTTCAGCAACTGTAAGTACAATACAATTTCAGCTTTCAAGAAAAGAAATTTTCAAAATGAAACGAGATTTTGAAATATGAATAAATAAGAAAGCCATAACTTAACTTGGCAAAAAAACTGAGAAATCAAGTTCAAATCTGTACCTGTTTGTCCCTGTAAAAAAATTTCTATAAAATCTGGTCATGTCAGGTGTGTGTTACAAAGTCATTTGCCACAGAACATCAGCCTTAGCTGTAATTAATTTCTGTAGTTCTGTTTTCATAGTTGTGAATGTTTAAGTTTTATTTATTTCCAAAATTATTTCCCCTATTGATTTTTCTCCATCATAAATACTATGTTTTTATGTCAGTTATGTGTTATATGAAATGTTGCTTCTCATCTCCCTTTAAATCTTTCTTCCCCCCAATCCTGGGGAACTCCACACCTTTTAGCATGCCTCTGACGTTCTGCTGCAGCCTTAGATTTTTCTTCCTGAACTCTCATAAAGTTATGGGTTTTTTTTCTTGTTTGATTGATGGAGCTCTAAGTTTTGTGAAGATTGCATTTCATATTTTTTGCTGCTGTTTTCTAAATCCTGTTACGAAAAATCAGAGCAAGAATGAAAGCAGTTTTGTCAGTGATTTAATTATCACATGTGTACAGTGTGTACGTTTTTGCAGTGTTATTTTATGGAGGGAATGTCTACGCAAGTTCTATACATATATTTATGGTATTTCCATACCAATTTGAAATTACACTTTGGCAGAGAAATTAGTTTAGGGGTAGGTCTTTTCCTAAACACCAGTCTGTAATTTTTATCATTCCCTGCCTTAGCATAGTGTTTCTATACTTATTTTCTATCAGTATGTTGTAGAACTGCCTCTATGTGTCTTTGCAGGGGGATCAGATTCACTAACTTGCTTTCCATCAAGCGCCCAGTAATATGCAAGAAACTGTAACGTATAATGGCAAAAAGGCTACTTGCAAACTGAGTTTTTGCTTGGGTTTTAATGAAATACAGCTGAATTTCTGTAAATGAGCACTCATGGCTAATAATGCATGTTTTATTGTGTTGAATAGCAATGCTGTTAAAGTAACTTCCCTATCGTATGAAAATATGGGAAAATTATTGTGATAAAGGTGATATATATCATGGTTAGATGGAAAGCTGAATAAGTTTGTTACTTGGAAAACAGCTGGCATGAAAGCCAGTGTACACGAGAGGGGAGTGAGTCACTGATGCAGAAGTTGGTGGTGGTGGTGCTGTATGTGTGCACTGAGGGCTCCATTCACTCAGGTGTTCATAGGGAAGCATAATTAATCTGTCTCATCATTGGAGAGAGAGACATAGCTGCAAAGTTTGGAGTGTTGAATAGTTAAGTGTCTTTGGGAAGGATGTACATAAGGAATTCAGGTGCCTTTTCCCCTTGTTCCAAGGCTAAACTTGGATAAGATCATTTTGATTCTGTCGAAACTGCTTGTGGTTTAATTTCTATATAGTTTTTTTTAACTCTAGGCTTTCACTTACTAACACTTGTATTTTTGGCTCAGCCATGATAACTTTGCAGCAACTTTTCTCATTAGGTGTTGCAGTAATTGTATGAGTTTTCCTCTATTTTCCTCTGGCTTTCACTTCATCATCTGCAGAGATAACAAAAGGCTATTGACAAGTCCTCCGGATGGAAGCTGAGAGACACACTCAACTCTGCAGTGTCCCAGCTAGAACCTAACGCCAAATTTAGCTATGGCATTGAGAGGAAGGCTGATCAGTCTCACTGTGTAAGAGCTGAATGAATTTTGTTCGTGTTTATATACCACTTGGTTACCTATTTTGTCCACCTTCAGTCAGCTGATAGTACACTGAAGTAAAGTGTGGCAGTACTTCCATTTCCTCCTGCAGTCTTTCTTTTCCCTCCAACATCTATGTCTTTTTTGTATTAATTAATTACTCTATCACAGAGCTTGTTTATGGATGGCACCGTTTCCCACTAGTTCAGAAACAGTGTTTGTTGTCATATTGTGCACCTTGGTCTTATGTGTATCATGATTTTTGGACCTTCTTTTCCCTAAGGTGTGGTGCTAAAGCCCAATTGAAGTATCTGTTAAAATGTAACTTTGGACTTGGAGCCCATCTTTTCTAAATTAAACATGGCAATTCTTCCTGCAGCTATGCTCAGCCCTTTCTTTTAACCACATCTTCCTTTTCTGTCCTCTGTTCAAAGCATTATCAGACTAAGTCCCCTTAGGTTATGTTCCACTTTTGAATCTCATGTCTTACAGAATTTGCTTTTGTTCTGTTGTATGCAGTATTGTTAAATAAAATTATATTTGGTTATTCTGAAGAAAATCTTCATGAGCTGAGTTTTATTGTACACAAATATTCCTAATGTATAAATGCTGTCTGCATGTCATAGGTACGGCTTGTTCATATTGAGTAGTGCCATTGAATGGATTTAGCTTTTCTGTGTATGTTGTTTTCTGCCAAATGCCACATGTGACAGTAGTTATTCAAGCTACTATAATGCTTAGGTTTTTCCTTATCAGAACATTTTAAAAAATCAGTAATTAAGGCACTGTTTTTTTAAAACAACATTTTTTAAAAAACAACAGCTGTATGGGGAACATACAGCTAATTGTATTTCTGTTCAAGAGGACATTTTTTTACCTCAAATATTTTCAGAATGGACATTTTTATTATGGAAATGCAGTTAGAATTGTTAGAGAATCAGACAGAAGAAGCAACTCTCTAAAACACATCCAAGTGATTATATTTTCTCTGATCTAGAGAAGTAGAATCCTTCAAGCTGTCTATAATGGGAGTAATAATGTTAGTTGGAAAAGATTGGAGTCATTGGAATTGGGTAAGGCGTACGATAACATTTAGTTTTCTGGCTTTTGTGATGTCTTCCAGTTGTGAGATGCTGAAGAACTGCTGTTCTGAAATGAATTCCAGAGATGTGGTCATTAGCAAGAATAAATGACTGTTTTCAGGAGCAGCGCTTGTATAGCTTCTGCAATTTTGTTGAGAAAGTGCACATTTGAAAGAGAGGAAGCAAATTAATTTAGACACTTTTTGAAGTAACTCTTTTAGAAATGACTCACTTGTTAACCAAAAGTAGGAAGTAATGGGGTTTTCAGTTGGCCCAGGTCAACTCCGTGGGAAGATGGCTTTTTATTTAAAAACCAGATAGGTATAAATTTTGAGCTTCATCACGGCTGTGTTGTTCTCACCGGTGCAGTTGTCTGAGGGTGCTTACCTCCCTAAGTGCTACAGCAGACTGGCCTTTGTTATAAGGAAAATACAGGAGATTATCTATTCAGACAGAATTGTGGGGCATTTTTTCATCCTGTTTACAAGATAACTGAGTCAGTCTTTTTTCTCTTGTTTTGGCTTCTCTCCTATACCTGTGTTTCAGATTTAGTTTCAGTCCAGTTCTTCAATAATTCAGAAACATAATTCTGTAACGTTGTACTTTTGCAGATAAGTTAGGTTGCTTACACATTGCTCTCATTATTGATGCTTTTTATTTGGCAAGCTTAGCTCTGTAAAACTGTACGTGTTCGATTACTTGTTGCTGAGGTGAGAAGAAAATGTTACCAGCCTCTTTATATCCAGCTGAGGCCAGGTGTTGTTCATTAACATATAAGTAGTGCAGTCAGTGCCAATTGTGATCTAAAGAGAAACAGTAAAATCTACGGAAATACAGCGGTACCACCCATACTTTTTCATGAGTTTTACTAGTTTATCTTCTTTTGTAGCTATCTGTTATCACTTTCAATCTTTATCACTATCGGGCTTCAAGCTGATGTTTGCTTCTGAAGGCTTGGATGTGTGGAGAGAAGATACTGGGTAATAGCATGGAGACTTGGGTTTGGGTCAGATTGCTTTTAGTCACCTCATGTGACTTAAGCCTGTATGTTGTTGGACATCTGAAGGACACAAGACGTGGCCCAGACTTCACAGAATGCAGGGAAGCTGGGGTCCTCTCTGCTGCAGCTCAGTACAGGTGTGTATATATGGGTTAGCTAGGGAGACAGGCATCACTATGGTGAGAGCAGACACCTCATAAGTCTTCTGATAAGCCTGTTTTAGATTCGTAGCAAAATTTTACCTTGAAATTAAGCTTGTTCCTGCCAGCTTTGCATATCTCTCATTCTGCATGTTCAGGTGCAGTTTCCTGATGGCTTTTCTTAGGTTCTTCTCGACATAATGGGACTTCTGTCTAATAAAAACAATATTTACATTTCTGACTGTTTTTTATACCTTGTGGAGATTCTGAGATGTAGAAGCTCAAGAAAATCTTAAGGGCCAGCAGATGAGTCCCTCTCCTGTTGTGTAAAGACTGACTGGCTTCAAAGAAAAGCAAAGTATTTGTATTATTTGTATGTAAGTATTTTATAATATTGACACCAGTCTTTCATCTGCTCCATTCTGTGATCTCTTATAGATGAGCAATGCAAGAAATGGTTGAATAGCAGTACAGATTATTTTGTATTAATATTTAATCTGATACCAAAAGCGCTTAAAGGATCTAGGGGCGTGAGAATTCTAGTGTTCTATTAGAAATGGGTTCTTTGTTCCACTGAGCAATTACCACTCAAGTGAATGATACCAAGAAGTTTGTTCTAGTATCACTAAGTTTTAAATATTGTTCTGTTGGGAAAGCTTTTGTTTGCTAGTTTCTGGTTTTAAGGGTTATTTCTTCAGAGTCAATCAAAAAGTAACTTCCTTGATGTTAAGCACAAGGGTACAAATTAAGGCTAATAAACTGATTCA